CTCCATCAAGGCATTTCTCTGTGCCTAGTTTCCCCCAAATGTAAAATCAAGACAGTACCCACCTCCCAGGATTGTCCTGAGAGCTGGTTGATCATGGGGACTATTTACAACAGCATTCTTAAGAGCATTGTTATAGGAGCAAAAGAATGAGAAACAACCTAAAAGCCAGTCCCTTCAGGGACTAAACTCTGGTGAGCTTTCTGGCTGAATACGGAAGATTGGCCACGAGTGTTGTCTTCCCTTTCTTCGGAAACGGAAGTGAATAACAGGAGGCGAGTCGAAGATGGATACATCAAAAAGGACCAAGAGACCAGAGAGACAGCAGTGGACAGGAGATTTCAACAGTGGCTGAAGGGGGGTGGTGGGCAAGCAAGGGCAGGGGGAGTCAGGACGTGACATCTGGAGATCCTGGAGGTCCTCGAGGTCACTGGATCCCCGGGTCAAGGCCCCGCTGAACCCAGGGGGTGGCTGAGAACCCAGATTCAACGTGTTGAGACCCTTGGCGTTCCCTCACCTCTTTTTTTTTTTTTTTTAAGATTTTATTTATTTATTTGAGAGAGAATGAGAGATAGAGAGCACGAGAGGGAAGAGGGTCAGAGGGAGAAGCAGACTCCCTGCTGAGCAGGGAGCCCGATGTGGGACTCGATCCCGGGACTCCAGGATCATGGCCTGAGCCGAAGGCAGTCGCTTTAACCAACTGAGCCACCCAGGCGCCCCGTTCCCTCACCTCTTACACCTGAGTCGCACGCACCATCCCCCACATCCCGATTTTCAGGGAGGCTTTGGACTTGGGGACAGCAGGATCATTAGAGACGTGAGGCTTGGGGCTACAAGCAGGAGCCCCCACCCTACTCCAGATTCTGCTCCCTCCACACGCAGTGAGGGTGGGGATGGAGAATGGAGGATAGGCATCTCTCATAAAAACTGAACAGTCCCAGAGAAAGCCTGCCACCCATCAACATTTCGGAGTCCCCGTGAAGAGGCTTCCACTGTCCTACGGGAAAGCCTAGGGTCAATGAATGCTCCCCGCTACACACACATCTTCCAATCAGCCTCTTGGTGGCTCCCTGTTAAAGCCAAGGACCAGCAGACGTTTGAGGGAGGCCGGCAAAATGAGAAGGAGAATCCTCCCACATGTTAAAAACAAAAATTAAAGGGGCGCCTGGGGGGCTCAGTTATTAGGCGTCTGCCTTCGGCTCAGATCGTGGTCCCAGGATCCTGGGATCGAGCCCCACATCGGGCTCCCTGCTCCACGGGGAAGCCTGCTTCTCCCTCTCCCACTCCCCCTGCTTGTGTTCCCTCTCTCGCTGTGTCTCTCTCTGTCAAATAAATAAATAAAATCTTAAAAAAAGCAATTAAAAAAAAAAGACAACTGGAAGGGGGTCACCTGGGTGGCTCAGTCGGTTAAGTGTCCAACTCTTGATTTCGACTCAGGTCATGATCTCAGGGTCTTGAGATCAAGCCCTGATTTGGGTTTCATGCTGGGTGTAGAGCCTGCATAAGATTCTGACCCTCTCCCTCCACCCCCGCAGGCACTCTCTCTCTCCCCACCTCTCTCTCAAAAACAATAAAAATAAAAACAAACTGTAAGAGACAGAGATAAATACAGGGTGGGGGGGGCACAAGAAAAAAATAGCCTATAATAGGAAAGCTAAAAAAAAAAAAAGGAAGGGGCTTAATGCATATAGTCTACAAGCATTTGTGTTTTTAAAAAGAAAAAAAGAAGCATCTATGTCTTTTTGTGTCCGCACCAACCATTCTGGAGGATTTACAATCAGCTCAGAAGGAGGGTTGGCTATGTTTTCATTCTTTTGTACCTTTGAATTCTGATTTTTGGTTGTTTTACCTATTACCGAGTTTAAACTCTAATACCGAATAATAAAAATATAATTATTATTGTCAGAGAGATGAGAGAAGAAACTGCATTTTGGGGAATGAAAAAAATAAATATCACAAAAACCTTTCCCCCCCCCCCCAAAAAGGAGAGTACACAAAACCTTCCAGGGTATAAAACAAAAAGACAGATGAGTTGGGGGGTGGCCAAGGGAACCTCAGCTTTATGTCTAATGTTTTAATATTTTGCAAGGAGAATACAGTCACATTAGTGTGTAATTAAAAAACGGAGCTCAGGTGGAAATCCATGTGAAGCGCCTAGCTCTGAGGAGGAAGGCTCCTGGGAGTTTCCTGTCCCTCCAGGAGCCCAGGGCTGGGCAGGCAGCCCCCAAGCCTTCCAGGACTGGAGGGCTCAGCCAGAGATCACAGAGGTCACAGGCCTTGATAGCTGTTTGGGATAGAGGTGGGGCGAGCCCCTGGGTCCCTGTTCCAGGCAGCATTCCCGAGGGCGTGCCCCTTCTGCTCCTAATTAGAAGGCCTTGTCCTTAGGAGCATTGAGGAACACACAAGGTTTCTGAAATTAATTACTATGTGGTCAGGTTTGACTCATGGATGGAACGAGTTCATAAGTCAGTGTGGGAATGACCCGGCCCCGTTCCACCCCAACGTCTAAATCCGTTGTCGTTTGAAGAGGAAAACATAAGAGAAAACATTTATTAAAGTTTTTCTCTTGGGCCTCCTATATCAGAGTCACCAGGGGTGCTTGTTAGAAATGAACCCGGGCCCCCTCCCACATCTTTTGAATGAGCCTTAGCAGTGGGGCCCAGAGATTTGGCCGCCGAACCCCGAAGCAGGCAAATGCAGAAGCCACCGTCTCAGTCTGCAAAGATATTACTCTATTTTTCTTTAGTTCAACTTCTATTTTGCGTCTTCATCCTACTGCTTGCAGAAAACATTCCCTTATCCATTTCCAGGTGAACTCTGTCATCCCACACCATCCCCTTCTCTTGCCTCCACCATTGATCTAAATTTGGAGTCCCTTAGTCCCTGGCATAGGGGGGTTGGCAGGGAGAGTCCTCTCTCTGAGATAAATTCTCCTGGGTCCCCACCTCCATGGATCAGACATGCCCTCATTTCTACCCTCCTGCTGCTGCCCCCAGGACCCAATAGCCATGTACCAGCTTGCCAAGCCACGCTCCGTGGCCCTGACTCCCCAAATGTATTCTGGGTTGTGTCCCTTCCAAGTCCTCTGGACTTGGCCATTGGGGAAAATGAAGATCACTCAGAAAACAATGTCTAACATCTCGTCTGGTCCTCCACTAGCTTCTCTCCAGCTAGTGTGGGGTAGCAGGGCCGGTGGGCGTGGGGGCTCTGCCTGTTTGTACCTCCTTCGCCATCTTAGACCCAGACACTGCAGCTTTTGAACTTAAAAGCCTGGAATTTGGCATCTTTGTTCTCTGGCTAGATAATAGAATAGTCTCAGGGCCAAAAAGCAAAAGCTAGCACCGCACAGTGCCTTCTGGGCCCCCAGATGAGAGCTCCCTTTTCACATAGGCTGAGCCATCCAGACATTTGATGCCTGTGCACAAGAACCAGGGACGTGGCTGCCCCTCTGAGGAGGGAGGGAGCTGAGAGTATCTTATCTTAGATCTGCTGAATCCCCACACCCAACACAGGCTCCCTGTTCACTCACCTCCCCCAGACAGCTGGGAAATGACACCTCTGGTGGCAGAGCCAGTCCCCAGGCTTCTGCTGGGAGGGGGTGGGGCGCTGCATGGGGGAGGCTCTCACACCCTGGGAAGCCTGGGTGGGGGAGGGAAGAAGCTGGCTCCTGTTTGTCTCAGATACCAAGGCCACCAGCCTCCCTCTGCTCCCCTTCCAGGGATGCAATGAGCACCCCTGGCCCAGGACCATGATCCCTCCCCTAAGACACCTCCTCCTTCACTTTTGAGGCTTGCCTTGACCCACCCCACAAGATAGGCAGCTCATCTGGTCCCATCTTGTCTCTGAAGTGCCAGGCCTAATGGGGATGAGCGGACTGAGTGTGTGCAGCTGATGTTTAGAGGATCTAAGAGAGACCAGTCGGGGATGGAGGGGGACGTGGGTAATCTCCTTCTACCACGTTCCAGATCAAGCCATTTAACATGTATGCAGTGCCTACAAATGTAATATATGTGCGGCCCAGAAATAGGACAGGAACTGGCCAAGGTCACACCTATGAGGTTAATCCACATGTATAGTAGTACCTTGTACCTGGGTACTGCAGGGGCAGCCCCTGCCTACTGTCTTTCCCCTAAAGAAAAACAGAACGAACAAACAGAAAGCCCCCAAAGCCCCTTTCCGGCGAAGCCTGGGATCAGAGGCTGAGCCCTCCTTCTGTGGCCTGGGAGCTGACCCAACTCTGGGGCAGAGCTGGGTTTTGGCCGGTCTGCGGCCACCACGTGAAGCAGCCCCACGGGACAGCCTCGGGCCCTCCTCCCTGGGCCTTAACCTTGCCCTATGTCAGTCAAGCACCCCTGGTCTGAGCCCCAGGTGTGAGGAGCGGCAGCTTACACACTTTGTAGTGACTTGCTTGCGGTGAGGGGAAGAGCCTGCCTCTTCTCCTTTCCTTCCACCCCGCTCCTCAGCGGCCAGGGGCCCCAGGCCTCCCCTGAGCCGCCCACCCGCGGGGCGGATCGAGGGCACCAGCTCCCGCCGCTCTGTCCACTTCGGCAGCTGGGTCCCAGCTACCCGCATTGCCCCGGCGACCCGCACTTGCCCCTTCCCGTGCCGCCCACCCCGGCCACTGCAAACGCTGCAGCTGGTCGCCGGCCTTGGGGCCCGCGCGCAGACCGAGGCCTTGGCGGGGGATGTGGGGTGCGGACTGGTTTACGGGTTTCGCGGGTGCGGGAGGACGTGGCCTGGGGCTCAGGGGCGCCGTCAGGGCCAGGAGCAGAGGCGTGGGGCGACTGTGAGGGCTGCGGCCCGACCGGGCGGGTCGGCGGAGGGTGCGGGGAGCCGCAGCGCCGGGGCTCGGGGCTCACGGAGCGGCGGCAGGCGCGGGGCCCCCGAGGTCCAGCGCCCGGCCGGCCGCGCCCCGCCCCCACCGCCCCGCTCGCGACGCGCCGCCCGCGGCGCCCCGCCCCCGCCCGCAGTGCCCGGATGTGGGTGACGTGCGGCCGCCATCTTCCCGTCCCGGGCAGCCAGCGCCAGTCGGAGCCAGCGCGAGCCGCCGCCGCCGCCGTCGCCGCCGCCGCCGCCGCCGCCGCTGCCGAGTCGCCCGCCCGCCTCCCCCGCCATGTGAGTCGGCCGCCCGCGCTCGCACCGGGCCTGCCTGCACCGGCCGCCGCCCTTGGGAGCCGGTCCGGGGAGCGCCCGGGGTTCGGTCGGCGCCCCGAGGCCAGGCCGGCGCCCGTGACTGCGCGCGGGCGGCTGGAGAGCGCCGCGTCCCCGGGCTGGCCGCGCGGGCGGTGGCCGCGGGAGGGAGCGGGCCCCGCGTCCGGCCGCCCCTGGTCTCGCCGCCGCCTGTCATTTCGGGTCGACCCCGGACCTTGTCTTTGAGGTCGCCCTTTTTTGACGGGCGGGGAAACTGAGGCCCGGAGGGGGGAGGGGGTCTGACTCAAGGTCACGCAGCTAAGCGGCGGCGGGGCCGGACGGAGTCCAGGGCTCCCATCGGGTGGCCTTCCTCCGGGGAAGGAGAAAGGGAGGGACGGATGGATGGACAGGAGGATGGGCGGAGCCCTGGCCGCGGGGCCGGTGGCTCCAGGCCTCGGGTCTTAATCCGACCCTGCTCCTCAGGTCGGCTACCGCTGCCACCGCCCCCCCTGCCGCCCCGGCTGGGGAGGGGGGCCCCCCCGCGCCCCCTCCAAACCTCACCAGTAACAGGAGACTGCAGCAGACCCAGGCCCAAGTGGATGAGGTGAGTGGGGGGGGGTGGCCGAGGCAGTGGGAAGGACCCTGAGGGTTGGCACACCGGTGGGGGGGCCCATCGTGGGTTGGAGGGGATGAGTCTGTGAGTTTGCGGACAAAGACATACCCTGCCCCTTCCCTGTTCAGCTTGCATTTGGAACGGCCCTGGGGTGTTAGTCAGCCTTGATAGCCTGGGGCAGTTCAGTCCGGGCAGGTGTGGTCGGGTGATGGACAGGCTGCTTGAGGCTCAGTACATAATAGAGCGTGCTGCTCTGACATCCGAGATGTCTGACGGTCAGCATGCCTCTGATGTGTGCTCCTTGCATGTCCCCAGGTGTGTTAGGCATGTTCTCTGTGTGTCCTTGGCATGTTAGCCTGGCAACATCGGGGTGCATGTTCCCTCTGTGGGTGCATGATTGAGGAGTGCCCTCATTGAGGCGGCCTTGGCACACCCCCTGCCTCGTGGGCCCCTCCCCCAGGTGGTGGACATCATGAGGGTGAACGTGGACAAGGTCCTGGAGCGGGACCAGAAGCTGTCAGAGCTGGACGACCGTGCAGATGCACTCCAGGCAGGGGCCTCCCAGTTTGAAACAAGTGCAGCCAAGCTCAAGCGCAAATACTGGTGGAAAAACCTCAAGGTAAGGGTGGAGGCACGCAAGCGGGCTGGTGTGAGAACTAACTGATGGGTGAACGGGAGTGTCATGGTCTGTGTCACTGACCCCCCTCCCCCTCTCGCCCCCAGATGATGATCATCTTGGGAGTGATTTGCGCCATCATCCTCATCATCATCATCGGTGAGTAGGGCAGGAGTGGCTAGGGCCCTTTCTCTGGAGAGGTTTCCCCTTCTAGGTTTTGAAGGTCGTTAACCTAGTTTTTACTAGTCAGCAAAAAGCACATATGGCTGCCAGTGCAGCTCTGATTCATCTGGAGCCCCAAATCTTGCTGTTGTTTAGCCTGCACTTTGCCTGGTTGTGGGCAACTCTTGTTAAGATTTTTGGAAACAGGAAAGCTGGTGGATCCCCACTGGTCCCTTGAGGATCCTTTTTGGGCCTAAACCTACTCTGGGAACCCTGGAATTGGGGAGTGGGAGACCAGGCAAGGCCCAGGGGCTTCAGACATGGCTAGGAAGCCAAACACCCTGCTATTTGAGAACTTGAGGGCCCAGAGAGCCCAGAGGATTAGGAGTCTGTGGCCCCAAGGCCATACCGTGGAGTTGTAGAGACTTTGGAACCTGCCAGTCCAGCCCCTTGCTTTACAGATGGAGAACCTAAGGCTGAGAGGGCTGGGGAGTGGGGAGGATGGGAGCAGGGCCAGGCCTGACACACTGCTTTCTCTCTCTCTCTTTCTCCCCCCTCTCTCTTCGTCCTTCTCTTTCCCTCTCTACAGTTTACTTCAGCTCTTAAACCCCTGAGGAGCCCGCCCTGCCCAGAGAAGGGCCTCTCCCCACCTCCCCCCCCCAATCCCCAGCCGCTCCTCCACCTCTCAGCCATATCTTCCAGCCCCCCTCCCCTGGATCCGTGTGTGTGTGTCCCCGTGTGTGTGCCCTTCTGTAAATAGCCAGCTGTTATTTATACATATATAATATTATATATATTTGGTCTGTTTGTAGTTTTATTACTAGAAGATTTTTCCGGTTGTCCTTAACACCCCTTCCTGAGGTTCCCATCTCTTTTCTCTTTCCCTCCTTCCCCTTTCCTCTCTTCCTAATCAGCCCCGAACCCCTTCATTTGCATCTGCTATGCAATAGTCCCTCTTCCTCTCTTCCTTCCCTTGGATTTAGCTGATCCTTCCTCCCACCCTGGCCTTCCCTGTACCTCCACTCCCTATTAAAAAAAAAAAAAACAAAAAACCCACAAAAAAAACCACAAAAAGCAACTGTCCAGGCCTCCCACGGTGCATCTTCTTTGCATCTTTGGGAGGCCCTGAGACTGGCCCCACTTGGTCCTAAGAATCCCAAGGTCTTCTGGGAGCTTCCAGCATGTTAATTAGCATTTATTTACATACTGACATCCCTTTTGGTTTCCTCCTTTTTTGTTCCATCGCTCTTCATTCTTTCAACCCATGTTTCTTTTTTACTGAGGAGTTAGTCCCCATGGTCCTTGTATCAGTCTTTCATTTGCATGACATTACTTGCAGGTGGCGGGAGCCTGGGCTTTTGGGGAGCCAGGCTCTTCTGGCCCCCAGAATCACCCCCTCCTAGCCCCTCTAGTCTGGTTTGCCTTCCTACCCCCATTTTCCAAACCTCTGGTCCCCTCCTCCCCCTCCCCCCAGCTGGTGTGTAAGTGTCTTGGAGTTCAGTGTGTCATGATGGACCAATAGTTTTGCCACTTGGAGTCTCTCCCCACATTCCTGCTCCCCAGTTTTCATGTGGGGCACTCAACCGACATTCCCATGGGGTCTCCCTCCCTCCCATCCCCCTGATCTGCCTCCTCCTCCTCCCACCAGGAGAGTTTGGGGGTTGGCCACAATCTGACTCTTTTGGGAGAGATGGCTGCCAGTGTGTGGGGGGTCATCACTGCCTTGGGGAGGAGTGGGGCAGGGCAGAGAATCCCCCCAATTCCTGCCTGAAATCTGGCCCCACCCTTGCTGGGGTTTGGACCTAAAACTCCCCTTCCCGGTTTGGGGGGGTGTTGCTCCCATCACTGCCCAGCTCCTTTTGACTGCCCCCCTGAATTCAGGGCGGGGGTACTAGTCACTGCCAATGTGTGTATGGGACTTGCTGGAAGATGGGGATTCTCGCCCCTCTCCAGGGCAGTTGAGCCCAGAGAGTTGTCTCCTCCTTAGGTGAAGTGATAGAGGAAGGGTCTAATGTCTTTTTAAATGGCACAATTTTAGGGGTCTGAGGGTGCAGTCCCTTAACCTGCTGGAGGGGACCCCCCCGAACTCTTTCTTCCCCCCACACTCAAGGTTTCTGTGTGGAGGGGGAGCAGGGAGATCTAAGCTGTGGTGTGAAAGGGTAGGGAGAGATGCTGGGGGTGGGGGTGCTGTGTTCTAGACCCCCCCATATTATCCCAGTGTCCCCTGCCCCCCTTCCCTCCCCCCATGCCCCCAATTCTGTGACGCATCCAGATTGTGAAAATGTACAATAAATGTGTAATGAGTAACCAGCTGGTGTGTGTTCTAAGACCTTTTCTTAACCAGTGGGAAGGGTATAGGATCTGCAGGTGAAACGGGAAAGTTGAGAAGGTACATTTGGAATGGACTGAGCTTTGCTGGAGGGCCTGACCTTGGGCAGAGCAAAGTGTGATTCCCAAAGTGGCCACGGGTGGGCGCCCGGCGCTGATAAGAGGAAGTGTTCTTGATCCCTGTGTCAGCCTGGTGAGCCTCGAGGCTTGGGCCTGGAGGCATGCTCCTGCTCTTTGCTGGATCCCTCTCCAACCCTTGATTTAATTCCCAGATGCTCTGCAGTCGCTCCGGTGGTCATTTATTCCTAGGCCTGAAGTAGATGGCCGACTTGTGCGAAACGTCTCTTCCCCTGGGTTCCTCTCGCAGTGCCAGCATCCCGAAGGGGTTAATAAATACAGAGCAGATGGGCTCAGGGAGACCCGGCCATAGGCTGGCCTGCTAGGCCTGCACCCTGTTGTAGGACTGGTGACTCTCGACCCCACGCTGAACTCCCTTGGCCTCCAGGCCGGTCGGTGACGACCCCGACGTGGCACCCCTAGCACCCCCGACCCCAGGTGCTGCAGCCGTGAGTGGCGTGCTGGATGAGCCCTGGAAGCCCGACTTCCCGGGCTGCGGCATGAGGTGAATCCTACGTAGTGTTTCCCAAACTGTCAAGGGTGCTTTTACAAAAGGGTACGCCGTCCTCAACAATGTCCCCCATTTACCGAGGGCTCACTACGTGCCTCGTGCTTCGTCTACTGAGGTTCCCGAACGCCCTCGGACCCGCCCTCTTTATCATCGTGTCAGGGACCTGCGTTTCAATCTTGGCCCCATTACTGACTGGAGTGTTAATCCAGACAAGATTATGTAACCTCTCTCGAGCCCAGTCTCCTCTGTGGGGCGGAGTAGTAGTGAGACGGCCTCCGGGCTTGGGAGAAGCGCCTGGCTTGGTCCACAGAGAACCACCCGGAGGCAGCCATCATCACCATGATCATCGTCGTCCTCGCGCGGCGCTGAGATCTGAAGACCGCTCCGCCGTTAATGCCGGCCCCTTCCAGCTTCGCGGGGCTTTAGGGACCGGGGCCGCAGACTCAGTCCGGGGGGCGCTCTGGTCACGCCCAGGACAGCTTTCCAGGGTCTCGGCACAAAACTCCCCCAACCAACGCCACCGCCGCTCACATCTGTGCCTGCGTGCAGGTCACACTCGCTGCGCCTGCGCAGACTCCGCAGTCTCTGGTAAAGAGTGTCGTCAAGGAAAATCCCCAGCTTCCAGGTAAACAAGTTGCCGCGTGAGACCGCCGGCACGTGTCCTCTACAGCTCCGAGACCTCCCAGCCTATGAGAAACTTGGAAGGGCTGGACTGGTATTTGCATCCCAGATAAGGGCCGGTGGAAGGCTGGTGCCACAGCCAATAAGAACCTCCGAAGTGGGCGGGGGCGTGACTTTCGGCCAGCTCCCAATCAACGCGCCGGGGCGGCCCCTCTCTCACGTGGAGCTGTCACTGCGGGTGGGCAAACTGACCAATGAGAAGATGATGGTGGCCGCCGGCGCCAATGGCGGCGGCGCGGGGACAGGGCGGCCGCACGCGGCGCGGGGCATGGGTCGGGGCCCCTGGGCCAATAAGCTTGAGGGGCGTGGCCGCGCGGCGGGTGGGCGAGCCTGGAGGAACTCTTCCGGGCGCCGCCGTCCCGCTGGGGCAGAAGCTGTGGTCGGTGCGTGCGCGCCGAGGGTGAGTGTTCGCGGGTGGGCGGAGACCAGCGGAGACCCGTGTGCGCTTCTCCGGAGCGATGTGTCCTGTCCGGGGCGGTGTTAATGGAGTAGGGCGGGGGGATCGTGCGAATGCGAGATCGCCGCGGTGGGAGCTCTGAGGGTCGTGGGAAATGGGACCCAGAGGGACGAGGGCGGGAGTCTCCAACATCTGACAGATTCCTCGCTTCCCTAGGTTCCTGGACCCCCACCCCCGTGACTGACCCAGGGGGTCCTGGGAGGGTGGGGCTCGGAAGTCGTCAGCTCCCCGAGGGAGCTGAGACCCCTGCTCCCGGGGCGGTGTGGGGACGGGGTCCCTGAGAGTGGGTGGGGGACGTTCCAGTGCTTGGCTACTGTTTGGGTAGGCTCCTTAAGCGCTTAAAAGATTCAGGGGTTCTGAGGCTGGAGGGAGCCCTGATAGGGCAGGTGGGAGAGTACGAAAGGGTTGACATGGTGATTCGAGAAAGGGTGGTTAGATGATGTGTGTGACCCTGAGCCCGTCGCATCACGGCTCTGGATGTCTTTCTCTAGGGTGTAAAGGGGAGGGGTTGAGCCTCGGAGCCATCCCTGGGAGTAAAGGTGGAGTAGCCACTGTCCTGAGAGGGACCGAAGGGTTGTGCGGACTGTGCATGTGTCTTCCTGAGCCCCTGGACGCCAGGAGGCACCAACCTCTCGGTAGAGCTCTGCTCTCTGTATAGACACCCGGGCCTATGACAAAGTGACCCGGGGTACGGTGAAGAGTGAGCAGGTGGGGCCCCTAGGAAGCCCCTGGGGCTGGTGGCTGCTGGGGTGATCTCAAGGACTTTGTGAGCCTGTGAAAACTGAGGCTGAGATGATTCGCGGCGAGCGTGTGGGGAGTGCAGACTGGATGTCAGAGTCCAGGCCCAGGGAGAGGAGGGGCTGGATGGATCTGTGTTCCGGGCACCAAACTTAGAATCGGCTGGATATTTGAGAGGCGCCGATCCTCCAGTGCTGGGAATCACCGCACAGGTGCCCGACCGAATGGTAAGGCGCGGGAATGACAAGCCATGATCAGCGCTCAGATTTGAACCCTGGGCTCCACTTGTTAAGAGCGGAGAACACATTGTGAGGTAGTGACTTCTGAGCCTTAGTTGGTTCTGTGGAATTGGGGTAATACCCATCTCCCAGGGTTGTTCTGGGGATTAAATAAGATAATATATATATATATGTGGTGCTTAGCGCAATGCCTGCGTTATGGTTTAATGTTTTTTGTTTTGTTTTGCTTTTAGCTAAAAAAAAAATGGCTACAGGATCTCAAAACAATAGTGACAGGAGTGCTGTCGTTGGGAACTGTTCTCACGTTCTCAAGTGTTTCTGCAAGTTTCGGTGACTCCCTCCTCATTTCCCTCTTCCTGGGCCTTCTGGTCGTCAGGCACCAGCCCAAACCCTCATCCCACCCTTTCATTCCTCTCCCTGGACCCAGGCCCCGGGCTGTGCCACTTGCTCTGTCCCAGTTCGATTTCCTCATCCTACACCCATTCCTCTCCCTGCCCCTCCTCCATTTCTCTGCTGCCATAGTAACGGGAGATTCCAGCTCCGAGGGGGCCTCTGGGAAGGAGCAAAGGTGCGTGTTCTCTCGCAGAACCTGGGCCTCCAGCGTCCCCGCCCCAGATCTTTGGGATTGGGCCAGCAGATGTGTACAGTTTGGGAGAGGGGGGAAGCCAGTGCCAGGAGCTGCAGGAACAAGCCGAGGGGAGGGCGGATGCGAATCTGAAGAGGGCCAGGCGCGGGGGCGGGGGACCCCTTCCTCCTAATCCTCTCTCCAGGAATCCCTGGCTTTTGGACAGGACGGCTGTCTTTGGTTGGGGGTGGAGCCCAGTCTGGGTGCATGTCCTGGGCCACCAGCCAAGAGTACATGATGTTCCCAAGTGCGCTGGCCGCCGCCCTCTCCGGCTGGCCGCCTCCCAAACCGCTGCCTCTCCAGCCTCCCTGTCCCACATTCCCCGGCTGCCTTGCTCCGCCCTCTTCCTCCGCTTTGACGTCACCGCTCCCTCCCGCCCCCTCGCCTCCATTGACGGCAGCCGGGCCTGGTTACTGTGGGGACTGTGAGGCAGGACAGCCGGGGCCTTGAGAGCAGGTGGGCGCTGCAGGAGCGCTCGACCCCTTTGTCTATGCAAAGCACGGACCTAGAGGTGGGGGGTGAGAGAGCACGGACTGCCTGTGTCCGCGGAGATCACACCTAGACCCCAGAGAAGAACCCGGGAGGAAGAGAAACCCTGTTTCCAGAGGAGAGGGGTCTGAAAATGAGACAAGGGACGGGGCCACAGTCTATGAGTTGGGGGGCCATTTCCAAGGAGATGAGACTGAGAATCCAGGCTCCTGAATCCTTTGTTTCCTGGGTTTTCTTGCTTTGGTTTTTTTTCTGGGTTATTTTATGACATCCCTGTGCCCCAGCTTTTCCACAGAGCCCTCCCCCGGCCCCCTCCCCAGGGAACACCATTGTTAAGGAAAGCTTAGGCCACGTGACAGTGAGGGAGTGCACCCACAGCTGATTATGTCAGCATCAGCTTGGGGGCCTCTTCACTCGCCACCCACGTTATTGGGGAGCCCTGAGAGGAACTGCTCACAGCCCTCTTTGATGGAGGGGTCTGTGTCACTGCAGTTTCCCCCCAGCTCAGCCCGGCACTGTATTTCCCCCAATTAGGACTCAGAGTTCTGCTCCCCTCCCCTTTACAAAAAGCATAATTTCCAGCACCTTCTCCATGGCTAAGGCCCCTTCCCCCCCTTATCTATCCTTGTTAACAACAAAATCACCATATTTACTGATCACCCACGGTGTGTCAGGTTGTGTCCTGGGGACTGAGAAATGCAGTGAGGTGACAGATGAGGTCCTCTGCTTTCTCTTGTCCTAGGGCTGGGGACCTGAAGCCACCCCACCTGTCCCTCCAGGGTCCCAGTTGGTCTCTTCCCTCAGCTACCCCCTAGGTTTCCCCTGTAGTCCTGGCTTTCTGGCCCCCACTTGGAGGCGGCCCTCAGTGTGGGCGGCCGCATCTTCAGGAGCAAAGCAGCACTAGTCACCACGTAGGCTGCCCGGAGACCTTTTCTCTGATTGGGTACAGAAGCACCTAGCATTGTTTCCCTTCACAGCCCTTATTGGCCCTGGCTGCCCCTTCTGTTGTCTGCATCCTCCCCTGCACTCCACCCCCTGTCACGCGGGGACCCTTAATTGCCATCCTCCTGGCTGTCCACAGGATTTGAAGTGTCAGAGGAAGGGGCTGGATAAAATGGCTTTATTGTAATGACAAGGCTGGGGCGAGGAACCCAGGAGAGGCCACGCTGGGTTTCTCTCTGTGTGTGTGTGTGTGTGTGTGTGTGTGTGTGTGTCCCCGTTCTCCCAAGGGACCAGCCATCTCATCTAGCCTGGCCCACACCCCAAGGGTCAGCATTCCTTTCCCCCACCTCTGGCAAGGCCAAGGTGTTCTGTTCTGTAGGGCTGTACAGTCCAGGAAGTAGACCTCTCTTAAGCACCTACCGTGGCGCAGGCATTTTGCCCGAAGAAGGGCAGTTTATCTCCCGTCTCCGCCCTCCCATTATTCACTGTGCAAGGCGTCCTGCGTCCGTTGGCTGCGTGGTGGTGTCTGGGGCCCTTCAGCCCAGCGCCAGCACCCAGGTCCACGTGCGCCCGTGTGTGTGACACAGCCCTGACCTCAGTAGGGGCCAGTAGCCAATCAGGGGCCGGCCCGGGATCCCCAGCCAATCGGGGGCGGGGCCTGCGGCTCCGCCGGCAGGAGGCCAATGAGGGGCAGTGCCTGGCATTATGCAACCCGCCTCCTGGCCCCGCGAAGCTTCCACTCGGCTGAGGGCTGCAACGGCGGCGGGTAGGCGGCCGGAGGGCGCTCGCGCGGCCAGGTAGGCATCTCCAGGGCCACCCGGGGACCGGTCTCCCGCCCCAAGTCGGACCGCCGCCACCTCCAGCCTGAGGCGCCGCTCTGGGCCCTGGCGCTCAGACTGCACACCGGTAATCCGCCTTCCTTGCAGCTGTCCACCCCCCCCCCGCCCCCGCCGTCGGGAACGTAGGTGTTGCTCGCTACCCTGCACCGGCTGTCCGCACTCCTGATCCGCTTACCTTACCTCCAGCCTTGATCTCTCCTCCCAGCTACCCTGGCCCCACGCCCGACCCTCGGCAGGCAGGCCCCCGCCGCCTTTCTTGTCACTCGGGGGTCCCTGGTTTTGCCCCGGCACCAGGACCCCTTCGGGCTTTCCGCGCTCCCCGCGCTCCCCCCTCCAATGCCTGGCCCCGCGCCGGCCGTGATGTAAGCCTCCAGGGTGGAACATCCCGTTCCCGGCGCTAGTTCCTGCTGTTGGCCACAGCCTTCCTTTTTCTACTAGCTCTCAGAAAATGCTCCGGGGGTTGGGGGGGGTGTGGTTGGACGAGGAGTAGGGGAAGAACTATCCGCTGGCGGTTGTGTGTCCCTTGCTCACAGCTGAGTGTGTCCGCTCCGGATGGGGGTGGGGTGGGATCCAGAAAAGTAGAGGACTGAGGAAAGAGGATTCCCGAGTCCCTGACAATGGCAGGTGCCGGCTTGGCACCTGGGGGCCGGGAGAGGGTGCAGGGGCCGCAGAAGGACAGGCTGTGTCGTCTTGACCAGAATGACTGGGATCCAGGCGAGCGCCAGGCTGGGGAGCTTTTGCGCGGAGGGCGGTGGCGGTTGTGTTTTGCCCTGGGGAGCGAGGCCAGCCCCTGGAAACCCGATGGGTCGCCCTTCTTCATACGGCCACCGGGCCCTCCAGGGCCGGAGGGTGTATTAGAGGTGGGCGACCCGCGGCCGCGCCCGCCAGTGTGGGAGTGGGTCGATCCCCGGCTCCGTCGGGAAATGGGGGAGGGGTCGCCCTTCCCGGCCTCCTGTGGTCCCTCCAGCCACCGCTGAGCTCAGCTGCTGACGTCGGTTTCCCTGGCGACCGCGGCGGCGGCGGAAGCGCGTGGTGGGGCCGCGCTTGTCTGTGCGCATGTGCAGCGGGGGTGGCACCGCCCCCGGACAAAATTAGCCCGAAGACCTAAATATAGGCCGCGCCGGGCATACCCCCTGCTCCGCGGCCTTGGAGTCCCGGGCGGAGTGGGGGCCTGATGGGAATTTGGGGGTGGGAAGCGCCCGGGCTCTGGTTCTCATCTACTCAGTCTCTGTTTTCCCAGGCAACGTTGGCAGGGGACGTGGAGGAAGGCCCAAGAGAGGCCCCTTCCCACCTGCAGCCCCTCTCCCGGGATAGGAAACAGAACTTGCCCAGGCTCGCTGTGGGAAGCCTGGGTCCTAGGCGCGTGGGGTCAGACAGGGGAGGTCTGAGTGAAGCCGGCCGGTGCTGTAAAGTTAACAGCTCACCCTTCTCCAAGCCCTCCTTTTTTGGTCTCCCCATCCAGATACTGCCCGTGATCGAACTTCTCAATCCTCAGAGGCTTGGATCTCCCACCTCACTCCCCCGACCAGGCCGCCCGGCCCCTGTGTGCACTCGTGGTGGCCTCTCCGCCTTCCGTGTTTCCCTCCTCCCCGCCCCATGGCTCAGACATGAGTGGCCCTCTAGAAGGGGCTGATGGGGGAGGGGACCCCGGGCCTGGGGAAACCTTTTGCCCGGGAGGAGCCCCATCCCCTGGGCCTCCGCAGCGCCGGTCTTGCCCTGGCCCCAGCCTGGCTGATGACACAGATGCCAACAGCAACGGCTCCAGTGGCAATGAATCCAATGGGCCCGAGTCCCGGGGCGCCTCTCAGAGGAGCTCACACAGCTCTTCCTCAGGCAACGGCAAGGACTCAGCCCTGCTGGAGACCACTGAGAGCAGCAAGAGGTGCGTATGGATGTGTGGTGCAGTGTCCGGGAGCAGTCTTGGGAGCAGGCTGAGCTACCCGACAGGCCCGTGCTGTTGGCCGCTTTCTCATCTTGGGCCCGTTGCTTCTCCCCTAGCACGAACTCTCAGAGTCCGTCCCCACCCAGCAGTTCCATTGCCTACAGCCTCCTGAGTGCTAGCTCCGAACAGGACAACCCTTCTACCAGTGGCTGCAGGTTCGTGGGGTCCAGGGCCAGAGGACAACGCTGGGGGGCCTGGGCCATGATCTGGGGCTCATGGCTCTCTACCCCCTCCCTCTCTATGGGCCCTGCAGCAGCGAACAGTCAGCCCGGGCAAGGACCCAGAAGGAGCTCATGACGGCTCTGCGGGAGCTCAAGCTTCGGCTGCCACCCGAGCGCCGGGGCAAGGGCCGCTCTGGGACCCTGGCCACGCTCCAGTACGCTCTGGCCTGTGTCAAGCAGGTGCAGGGTGAGTGGTGCTTCCGGGGACGTCCCGGCCGGTCCTGGGCTGCGGCGGTGGGGCAGGCTCCTCCCCAGACACCTCACTGCCTTCACCCTGCAGCCAACCAGGAGTACTACCAGCAGTGGAGCCTGGAGGAGGGCGAGCCTTGTGCCATGGACATGTCCACCTACACCCTGGAGGAGCTGGAGCACATCACGTCCGAGTATACGCTGCGCAACCAGGTCAGCCGCAGCCCGGTCTCCTGGTCCTGATGCACCCCCACCCCCCACGCGCACAGCTCCTGATTCGACTTTTGTCCCCGCTTCCCTGCCTAGGATACCTTCTCCGTGGCTGTCTCCTTCCTGACAGGCCGCATCGTCTACATTTCGGAGCAGGCGGGTGTCCTCCTCCGCTGCAAACGGGATGTGTTCCGCGGGGCCCGCTTCTCAGAGCTGCTGGCTCCCCAGGATGTGGGCGTCTTCTATGGTTCCACTGCCCCGTCTCGCCTGCCCACCTGGGGCGCTGGGACCTCAGCAGGTGAGGTCCCCAAGCAGTCCCCGGAAGCTGCTGCCCTGAGGGACCAGGGGACCCCAGCTTTTCCTCGCCGGGTTCTTTTTAGCCCAGGGTGGGGTGGGGGGGCTGTTCTTAGTGCCTTTCTGGTCTGTTCCAGGTTCAGGCCTCAAGGACTTCACCCAGGAGAAGTCTGTCTTCTGCCGTATCAGGTAGGTGGGGGACGTGGGAGCAGATGCCCTCCTACCTTTCACTCTCCTGCTTCTTTGCTGTGTGGGTTGTGACCTTGAGGTGCAGGGTGGGTGGCTGTCTACCGAGTCACTAATGCCTCTTTCTCTCCCTTGCTAGAGGAGGTCCTGACCGGGATTCCGGGCCTCGGTACCAGCCATTCCGCCTCACGCCATACGTAACCAAGATCCGGGTCTCAGATGGGGCCCCAGCACAGCCGTGCTGCCTGCTCATTGCAGAGCGCATCCACTCGGGTTACGAAGGTGTGTGGGCATCGGGCCTGGCCTGGCAGAGGGTAGGAGGAAGGGTGATTTCTCTAGGCTAGGGGAGAGGCAGGACCTGAGTCTGGGAGGCATATCTCAGCCCTTCAGAATTTTGGAACAGAGAAGGTATGGTAAGGATGAAGGTTTGAGCCCGTTTTTAGGGGGAGTATTGGATAAGCACCCTGAACTAGGAGCGGAGAAAGGAGACTGCTTTGGTTCTCAGTTTCACACTTGGTGTGGGGTAGGAGAATGGTCCAGACCATCTCTGTAGGCTAGACGGCCCTGGGCAGAGCCATGGGGAGGATTGCCAGCCCACTTGGGCCTGAGACGGTGGGGGGGTGGCGGCGGGCAGAGAAGCTGGACCATTCTGGATAAAACCCAATGCCCCCCCCCCAAAAAAAAACAACAAACAACAAAAAACCAATGGCCACATTTGCTGTGCTCAGCTCCCCGGATCCCCCCTGACAAGAGGATCTTCACCACTCGGCACACACCCAGCTGCCTCTTCCAGGATGTGGACGAAAGGTGAGCTCAGGACCTGGAGGAAAAATGGGGGTGGCTGGGGCCGAGGCCTTGGCTACTCTGATGCCACCTCCCCTTTCAGGGCTGCCCCGCTGCTGGGCTACCTCCCCCAGGACCTCCTAGGGGCCCCAGTGCTCCTGTTCTTGCATCCTGAGGACCGACCCCTCATGCTGGCCATTCACAAGAAGAGTGAGTCGTCTTTTTCCTGCTCTCCCTTCTTGGCTGTCCGTGGGGCTTCTCCATGGCCGTGCTTGGAGTTGTATCTCTCGGGGCCTTGGTCTCTTGGATCCTCAGGGGTGGCCCTCTGCTTTCCCCGGCTCTCCCTCCTGCTGACCCTCCCCTCGTTTCCCACTCCTTCAGTCCTGCAGTTGGCGGGCCAGCCCTTTGACCACTCCCCTATCCGCTTCTGTGCCCGGAATGGCGAGTATGTCACCATGGACACCAGCTGGGCCGGCTTCGTGCACCCTTGGAGCCGCAAGGTGGCCTTTGTTTTGGGCCGCCACAAAGTCCGCACGTAAGTGGGCCCTGCCCCAGAGCTGGCTTTGTGGGCTGGGTCTGTGCGGCAGGGGGCAGGTCTCAGCTTCCCCTTCCCCACCCCGCAGGGCACCCCTGAACGAGGACGTGTTTACTCCCCCGGCCCCCAGCCCAGCTCTGTCTCTGGACTCTGACATCCAGGAACTCTCGGAGCAGATCCACCGGCTGTTATTACAGGTGACTATGGAGGGGTGGGGCTTGGCGGGGAGGCAGGGCTGGGAGCAGGGCTGAGACATCTAACCCCTTCTCCTCCTGCCTCAGCCCGTGCACAGCCCCAGTCCCACGGGGCTCTGTGGAGTGGGCGCCGTCGCTTCCCCGGGCCCTCTCCTCAGCCCTGGCTCCTCCAGTGACAGCAACGGGGGTGATGCCGAGGGGCCTGGGCCTCCTGCGCCGGTGAGTGTCTGTCTTCCGCTGCGCCCCCTAGGCCGGCATTCCCCGGGTGCTGTCAGAATCAGCTTGGGCAGGTGCCTTTTCTGTCTCCTCCTGCTCTCACCGTGCCCTGCATGCCTGCCCGCTGGGTACCTGTCGTTGCTCTGCGCCCTGGGCCTCTGACACTGGCCACACGCCCCCAGTGCTGGCCTGCTCTGTCCCACAGGTGACATTCCAGCAGATCTGTAAGGACGTGCATCTGGTGAAGCATCAGGGGCAGCAGGTCTTCATCGAGTCCCGCGCCCGGCCTCTACCCCGGCCCCGCCTCCCTGGTCAGTGGGTGAGGGTGCGGGTGAGGAATGAGACCTGGGAGTCCCATGACTTTCGCCCCAACCCAGAGGAGCTCGTCTCTCCCTTTTCTCTCCTTGGCCCAGCTACAGGCACATTCAAAGCCAAGACCATTTCCTGCCAGTCCCCAGACCCAGAACTGGAAGTGGTCCCTGCTCCCGTCCAGGCCCCACTCACCTTGACCCCTGACGAGGCGGAGAGGAAAGAGGCCTCCAGTTGTTCCTACCAGCAGATCAACTGCCTGGACAGCATCCTCAGGTAAGGCCACCCGGGGACCGTCTCTCACGTGGGCCCCGGCCCCATCCCACCCCGGGCCCCGCCCTCATGACCTCTGGTCCCCCGCCAGGTACCTGGAGAGCTGCAACATCCCCAGCACGACCAAGCGGAAGTGTGCCTCTTCCTCCTGCACCACCTCCTCGGCCTCGGACGAGGACAAGCAGAGGACGGGTCCAGTCCCTTTGGGGGCCAAGAAGGGTAAAGACCCCGCGGGTCCCGTCCTGGCCCCCTGGCCCGGTCTCCACACTTCTGCCTTTGGGGCCCCCACCTTACTCTGCCCTGTTCCCCGCCGGGCCTTCTGATTTGCAGACTCCTGGCAGGTCCCCCCCCCCCCCCCCCCCCCCCAGGGACCTCCTGGTGGTAACTGGTGCCGTGTCTCTGCACAGATCCATCAGCAGTGCTGCGCGGGGAGGGGGCCGCCCCTCAGAAGGAGCCAGTGGTGGCAGGCACCCTGAGCCCGCTCGCCCTGGCCAATAAGGCAGAGAGCGTGGTGTCCGTCACCAGCCAGTGTAGCTTCAGCTCTACCATTGTCCATGTGGGAGACAAGAAGCCCCCGGAGTCAGGTATGGGCGTGCAGTGAGGGGGTTCCATTTGGTGCCACAGCCACAGCTCCCTCCCCCTGCCCTTTCCTTCCCCGTCTGGCCCCTGAGGGAGAGAGAGAGGCCTCCATCCTAGCCTGGGGCTGTTGCCTCTGGCTGTCCATTCCTCCAGCCTCTGCCGCCTTGTTTTTCCTGTCCTTCCTGTTAGTGAGCACATAGAGCCTCGGGTGGGGGGTTCAAGCCTGAGGTGCGGACCACAGAGTGTCGGAAACTGCCCCCCCTCCCCGCCCCCCTGCAAAGGGGCTTTGGGCATTGTCCCGGAGAGTGTGTGAGGGGAGGGCAACGGCTGAGCTTGCCTTCCCAGGAGAGTCCTAGGGTTATCATCCTGGGGTACTGTCGCTGGAGGGGACTCAGCATCCTCTCTCACCTGGGGGATGGGAAGAGGGCCCAGAACCAGGCCTCAGCGGGGAGGAGGCCCGGCGGAGATGCACCTGGGGCCCAGGCTGGGCTGCTGGAGGGGCAGGGTGTGGTGTGGCTGTGGGAACCCCTGAGGGGATCCCAGTGACCGCCCCCCCTATGCCCCTGGTCTTCCCTTTCTCAGACATCATCATGATGGAGGACCTGCCTGGCCTGGCTCCAGGCCCAGCTGCCAGTCCAGCCCCCAGCCCCACGGTAGCCCCCGACCCCGCCCCAGACGCCTACCGCCCGGTGGGCCTGACCAAGGCCGTGCTGTCCCTGCACACACAGAAGGAGGAGCAGGCCTTCCTCAGCCGCTTCCGAGACCTCAGCCGACTGCGAGCGCTTGACGGCTCCTCCCCGGGCCCCCTGGCCCCTGGCGAGCGAGGTAGCCACTTGGGATGTCTCTGAGCCTTGTCTTCTGCCCAGTCCAGGACCAGACTGTCGGGGGAGGGGGCAGGGGGTGCTTGAGGGAGAGGTTCCTGCTGCAGGGACCCAGGCTGGGGAGGCTTCCACCACGAGGGCCGTGCGTAGGGACAGGCCCCTGGCTAGACTCTTCCCCAGTAGGCTGGGGTTCCTGGCTGCAGCCAGAGGAGGGCAGCCTGGGGGGCTGGCACTGAGACAGGCAGGCGGAGGTGCTCGGTTCCAGGTAAGCTGTTTCAAGCCCAGCTTGGGGGCCAGGGCTCAAGTACGGCCGCTTCTGACCGAGGTGTCACCAGTTAAGAGACCCGTATAGACTCCTGGCCGAACAGGGGCCAGGCGAGCTGGGACAACTCTCCCGCTGGGGTCGGGGCTTCAAGGGCAGGATGTCTGCCCTCCAGGTGCCTGAGAGAGGCTCCCTGCAGGACGCAGGACTCAGGACTGGGCTCTCCCACCCACCTCGTCGCTCGAGCTAGGCCGAGCGCGGCCTCGACCTGCAGGAGGAGCGCCCAGGCTGTGGGAGCCTGGTGGAGGGACCGGAGCCGCCTGCCCGCTCGTCCACGGACCCACCCTGCTTCCTCCCATCGGCTTCCGTGCCTCTGCCTTCTGTGCGCCCCCAGCTCTGCCCCACTTGTAACTTTGTCTGTCCTGGCTCCTTTTGCAATAAACCCCCCTGGCCCTGCCTCCTGTGATTCTTCCCTGAAGGTTCTCTCTCCTCCTAAGAGGTCCCCCTTGATCTGGGCCGCCTGGAGGCCCAGTTCTTTCCGGGGCCTTCTCCTGCCCTGTCCTGGGTCAAGAGTGGCAGGGCAGCGTGGGGGGGCGGGGCAGGGATCCTGCTCACCCCCAGGTTGAGGCCCTCGCTAACCCTCGTCTCTCCCCACAGGCTGCCACCACGGCCCCACACCCCCTGGTCGCCGACACCACTGCCGATCTAAAGCCAAGCGCTCCCGCCACCACCAGACCCCCCGGGCCGAAGCCCCCTGCTATGGCTCCCACCCGTCGCCTGTGTCACCCTCGTCTCCCTGGCCTCCCCCACCAGCCACTACTCCCTTCCCAGCTGTGGTCCAGTCCTACCCTCTCCCAGTGTTCTCCCCGCGAGGAGGCCCGCAGCCTCTCCCCGCTGCCCCCACAGCTGGGCCCCCTGCAGCTTTCCCTGCCCCGCTGGTGACCCCCATGGTAGCCTTGGTGCTCCCTAACTATCTGTTCCCCGCCCCACCCAGCTATTCCTATGGGGTAGCCCAGACCCCTGCCGAAGGGCCTCCTACCCCCGCCTCCCACTCCCCTTCTCCGTCACTGCCCCCGCCGCCCCCCAGCCCTCCCCGTGGGCCGGACTCTCCACTCTTCAACTCGCGATGCAGCTCCCCGCTCCAGCTGAATCTGCTGCAGCTTGAGGAGCCCCCCCGTGTTGAAGGGGGTGCTGTTGCAGGAGGTGCTGGAAGCAGTGCTGGGCCCCCGCCTCCCAATGAGGAGGCCGCTGAGCCAGAGGCCAGACTGGTGAGCACGGACCCCCTGCATCCTCTTAGCAGCCCCCACGCAAGCCCCCTTCCCCTTGCTCCTCTTCCTGCTCACGCTCCTCCCTGCCCTGTGCCCCCCCCCCGTGCCTCGGTCTCCGGAAGATGGTGTCGCAGGGTGGGGGGCCCCAGCTGAATTTCTGAATGAGGCAGAAACCCGCCGCCTCATCTGTGGCATGGGGACAATCCTGTCTGTCTGACAGGTGGTGAGGACACATCCCCAGAACTTCGGAGAGCACTTCGGCCTCCTGGGACGGGCCCGGCGTCCTGCCCCTCCTCTACTCCCCTCTCTCGTCCTGGCCCCCACTGTCGTGGAGTGGGGACAGAGACCACTGGGGTTGGGTGGGTCCCCCCAGCCAGTGGAAGCAGTTGACACGAAGCCTGGCTGTTGATCTCCTAATCCCGTTCTCTTTCCCTCACCCCACGCAGGTGGATGTGACAGAGTCCTCCAACCAGGACGCGCTGTCGGGCTCCAGTGACCTGCTGGAGTTGCTGCTACAGGAGGACTCTCGGTCCGGCACAGGCTCCGCCGCCTCAGGCTCCCTGGGCTCCGGCCTGGGCTCTGGGTCTGGTTCGGGCTCCCATGAGGGAGGCAGCACCTCAGCCAGCATCACACGTGAGTGCCCCCCCCCCACCCCGGGCCCCCCAAACACCTTCCCCTGCAGGGTACGACCCTGACTGGGCGTGTTGGGGGGGCCAGCCCCCCCCACCCCGCTTAGCTGAGCAGCCTGGGCCCAGTGGGCTGCAGACATGGCCTTGAGGGAGGGTGTGGGAGGCCCCGGGGGTGGGGGGGGCAGCGGCCTGACTCTGGGGCCCCCCTGCCCCCCCTGCTTCGCAGGCAGCAGTCAGAGCAGCCACACGAGCAAGTACTTCGGCAGCATCGACTCTTCCGAGGCCGAAGCCGGGGCTGCCCAGGCCGGGGCTGAGCCCGGGGACCAGGTCATTAAGTACGTGCTCCAGGATCCCATCTGGCTGCTCATGGCCAATGCCGACCAGCGTGTCATGATGACCTACCAGGTGCCGTCCAGGTGAGCAGGTTCGGAGGCCCCCCTGCCGCTCCTCCGTTGGAGGGAGGTGTGCTGGTCCACCCACACTTCCCACCGAGCTTGGGGTTTTCTTTTGGGGGTGTGGGGGGGGGCGGCTGGCTCTGCCCTGGCACAGCCAGGCCGGGCACAAGCTTTCCTGGTCTCGGAAGCCCCAAACCCCCAGAGACCTGGTTGAGAGGAGGAGCGGAGGCCGTGTGTGGGGAGGACAGTAGTCGCTGGGCTCTGGCCCCGGCTCCCAGCCTCTGCCATCGGAACCCCTTCCTCGGGCAGGGACATGGCCTCTGTGCTGAAGCAGGACCGGGAGCGGCTCCGGGCCATGCAGAAGCAGCAGCCTCGGTTCTCAGAGGACCAGCGCAGGGAACTGGGTGCCGTGCACTCCTGGGTCCGGAAGGGTCAGCTGCCTCAGGCCCTCGATGTGATGGTGAGAGACGTCTGGGCCCGGAGGGAGAAGAGAGGATCCGGGCGCGGGGCGGTGATCCCCTCCTTGTCCGCGGGTGGCTCATTCTGAAGGATGGTGATTGCCCCAAGTTTGCTGCTGGGTTGGATAGCATTTAACCAAATGAGTCTTTGTAGACACCTTCTGGGCCCATCCTCTGTGACGGACATTGGGACCGTGTCCTAGTGGGGTCTAGATACAGGGACAGGGTATGGTGCACTTTCCAATCTTGTTGGCCTGCGTGCATCTGTGTGGACGAGTATTTCTTTGGGAGGATATTTTGGGAAGTAATCCTGGGGGGTGCGGGGGAGACACAAGGGGAGCTAGGGTGGCAGGTTAGCAGGGAGAACCTTGCCTGACTCGTCCTCTTCCTCCCTCCAAGGCCTGTGTGGATTGCGGTAGTAGCACCCAAGACCCTGGCAACCCGGATGATCCCCTCTTCTCGGAACTCGATGGACTGGGACTGGAGCCTATGGAGGAGGGCGGAGGCGAGGGTGGGGGCGGGGGTGCTGAGGGTGAGGGCGGAGAAGAGGCGCAGGCTCAGGCTGGGGCCAGGGTCTCCAGCTCTCAGGACCTGGCCATGGAGGAGGAGGAGCAAGGTGGGAGTTCACCCGGTCCAGACTTACCCACCACAGAAAATGGCACCAGCTAGACCACATTTGGGGGCCCCCTCCGGCAGTGCATGAGAAGCTTCCTTCTCCCGTGTTCCACCTCTCAGAACTCCGATGTGGCTGGACCAACCAATAGGAAACTGCCCCAGCTTCTCCCACTTAGGGGGCGGGACCCCCACCAGCAGCCCAGGATCCAGGGGCTGCCTCCTGCTTCTGAGGGTACAGACGGGCGGGGGGGGGGGGTGCGGGGATTCGTCAGCCCAGCCCAGAGAAGCCGCGTCTCCCAGCTCTGGTGAGGAGCTCTTCCTTCCCCTGGACAAGGTTGCTGACAAGCTGCTCAAGTGGTCTCGTCCCGGCTGAGCCCGAGTCCCGGTCCCTGAGGGTTTGGGGCTGCACTTATTTATTGGGGGAGACAGCCCTTCTCCCACCTCCTCCCTAGAGGGGAGGGGGAGGGCCAGCGGTCCAAACCCCTAGCTGCTCCGGGGTGGGGGAGGTTGGTGGACCATGGAGTCCCTGGTGCTGCCCCTCAGGTGGGACCCAGGTGTTCTCAGCTGTACCCTCTACCGATGGCATTTGTGTTTTTGATATTGTGTCTGTTGTTATTTTTTAATACAAAGAGGAAAAAAAAAACCACCCAGGACTTTGTGGACTGAAATGTGTCGGTTGGGGTTAGGGAGCTCTTGTGGGGAGGTGTGGCCCCGCTTCCAGGGAGGCTGTAGTGAGCCTGAGGACCACTCCCCTGGCGCGCCCCCCAGCCGTCTGCTCCGCACACCCTTCCCGGCGGAAAGGCCTTGCCGGGCCCGTAAAATCTCCACCTAACTCGGCCGGGGCGGGGGAGACTGTCACCTTGAGTCAGCGGGGTATGTCGTGGGAAGCAGGGCGGGGGGCGGCTGGAGAGCCGGCCCAGCCTGCGGGGACCCCGAAGCCGGTGAGGGTGTTCAGCTGCTCCGTCACCGTGTCACCACGCAGGAGAGGGCCCAGTCCAGGGGGGCTGCGGGACGTGAGGTCAAGCACCCATTCGTGGTCGAGTTGGGCCCCCGAGGTGCGGGAGACGGGAGGGGCGGAGAGTTAACCCTCCGGCTCGGGACCTGGGAAGGGAGGGGAAAACCTTGGAACCGAGGTGGCAGAGGGCCCGCGGCGACCGTTGCCTTGCGGTTCTCACTTACTGACTCCCTTGAGTGACTGATCTATCTCCAGAAGCGAGGGGTTTTCCGGCGGCGCCGTGGCTTAGCTGGTTAAAGCGCCTGTCTAGTAAACAGGAGATCCTGGGTTCGAATCCCAGCGGTGCCTCGGTCCGCAAAAGGCGGAATATTATTGCTGCAAGGGCGACGCCCTTCCAACCCTCCCCAAGGCTTCTTCGTGAGGCACCTTCCGGAAGATTCTTATTCTTCCCCCGCCAATCTCACCTGGAGCTTCCGCTCCCGCGCACTTTTAGTGGAAATTCGGAGGCTGACTCTCGCTTCGCTTTCACGAACCGGGGTGACGCGGGCATCCCTTGCACTCGAGGACGTGGGAGCCTGGGCTGGGGCTCGGGCTCATTTTGTTGGGGCCGTACTGAGTCGTGGGCGGGGGGGGGAAGCGGGAGGACCGCGGCTTCCGCAAGGCCGCGGCCCGCAACCCCCGCCTCCATCGAGACGCACGCACACACACGTTCCGAGGCGGAGGGGCGGGGCGGCGGGAGGCGGGCCCGTTGATAGGCAGCTATAGTTGCGCAGGCCCGAAGCCGCACGCGGCTGTGATGGCCGAGTGGTTAAGGCGTTGGACTCGAAATCCAATGGGGTCTCCCCGCGCAGGTTCGAATCCTGCTCACAGCGTGTGTACTTTTGGGAACACGCGTTACTGCCCTCGGGGAGAGAGAAAGCCATTTGTTTTCCCAGTGCTTCCCTCCCTCGGAGAAGATACCGCATTTATTCTCGGGGGCCTCCGCCACCCGCTATCAGCCCGCGAGCGCCCCCTTGCGGGCCTTACGCTCCGGCCTGCGCTTCCTCCCATGGGTGTGTCCTGTAAAAGTCACTTAACTACTAATTTGAATTCTTCACGTCCCCAAACCCGGGTGGCTTCTCAGGGTTCTTCGGCAGTCGTCTTACATCCCCCTTATCCCTACCGCCCTGCAAGTCTTCCATACGACTGTTTCATCCCTTTTGTCACCCCAAACCACGAGTCCCTTCTTCCTCCCTCGGCCTTCCTGGTTCACTGAGAAAATAAGGCATTCTGGAGAGATTTCCCCATCGATATCTGCAATCGCACCTGCCTACCTACCTGACTGCCTACCTGTCTGTGGTTACATGCTCCATGCTCTTCCCTTCCCTCAGTGGTGTAGACGAACCTTCCACCTAACCAAGGCCAACCCCTGCACTTACTAGATCTCCCATTCCCCCGGCTCACAAGGACTCAAGGACCCTGCTCTCCTTCCTGTACCATCCGTTTTCCTCTCTAGCTGGATCACTCCCACCAGCCTGCATGCGTACTGAAACCTATTCCAGTTTGGAACAAGCAGGGCAACAAAAGCTATCCTGACACCACACACACCCCCTTCAGCTCCCACTCCTCTCTCTGTTCCCCTCTTCTGCAAAACATATATCGTATACCTACTCTCCCCCAATTCCATCTTCCCGTTCTCCTTTGAACCCTCTCTAATCAAGTGCCACCCCACCCCATTCTTCAAGGTGCTCTTGTTAACAGGTTCCCAAAGGACCATGCATTGCTAAACCCATTGATCACTACTTATGGATGCTTACCCTCCCCTTACCCACAGACTCCTTTGCTTGTTGATCACCTTCTGGATCTCTGCATGTCAAAGTGTTCCCACCGTTCAGTTTTCCAGCCTCTTTATCTATACTCACTCCCTCAGTGATCTCTTTAAATACCAACGAATAATACATTAATACATCCAAAATGTTCATCTCCAGCTCCACAACTCTTTCCTGAATTACAGATGCATATATACTATTATCTCCTTATCATTTCTGCTTGGATATCTAATATCATTTCTGTTGGTGATATCTAATCACAAACAAAATGACCAAATCAACTCCTGGCTTCCCCCCAAAATGAGCTTCACCTGTAGATCTTCTATCTCAGTAAAGAAAAATTCCATTTCTTCAGTTGCTCAGACTAAAAGCTTTAGGATCATCACCGATTTTCTCTCTCTCACACACACGCAGTCAGCAATTTTTTTATTTAAAACATGTTAAAAACTTGGCTACTTATCACCATGTCACCACTACACCCTGGTCCAAGCCACCCACATCTCTCACTGAGATTATTACAACAGCCCCTAGATTATTTCCTTGCTTCCTTTCTTTTCCTTGTTCCTTTGCAGTCTGCTCTGAACACATTGGGCATAGTGATCCTTTCAAAACATAAATCAGAATCTGTCATTCCTCTCTTCAAAATCTTCCGATGGGATAGCAATATGAATTCATGGTTTTTAACTAGTGACATATAAACATACATACATAAACAAACATACATATATACATATGTATTTCCCTCCTCTTTCCACGGAGAAAGCCTACAAGGAATGATACACAAATAGCAATAAGCACACAAGTGACCAGATCTTGGTTACTAAATACCATTCTCCTCTAAAATGAACCAGGGCTCCTAGGGAAAAAAGGCTGATTCCAGGGCTTCAGTTAGGGAATTATAAGATGCTCTTGGAACATTTTGTTGCACAGGAAAGTAATGTTCAAAGAATTTTGGGTATCTATAAAAAAAAAAAAAGACGTAACAGCTAGGGGTTACAGCTAAAGGAGCTCCCGTTGGCTAAATCTGGGACAAATCGAGCATTAAAATAAGTAGTGATTGTGATGGATTCCTTATATCAGATAAGACTCCACAGTTCATATCAATATAAATAAATAAAATGGGAAGGAAGGGGACGTCTCTTTTTACGGTAAACTGCCAACTAATAAATATAGAGTTAGAAATCATCAATGAATACTAAAGTAGAGGGTGAACCTTAATGGGGCTGTAAGTAGCAAAGAGTCTCAAAGTATCTTCCCACAAATTACATTAATTACTCCTCCGGAGGGGGCCAATAATAACGTTCCGGTGGACAGCCCTGGCCAACACCATCTAACCACGTGACCAAAGACAGTATCAGTATTGAGGCAAGCTGACCTGTGTCTTCTGACGTGACAACACGGAGGACCGAGAAGGACCTGGTGTCACTTCCGTGGTGATGTCCCTGCCAAAAAGACATGATCTGAATAACTTGATTCTAACCGTGAAGAAACATCTGACAAGCCAAACAGAAGGACACTCTACAAAATTACAGTCCTGAACTCTTCAAAACCGTGAAGATCAACAGCGAAGATTCTTCCAGATTAAATGAGACTGAAAGGACCTAGCAGTGAAACACAACCACGTGATCCTGGACTGGCTCTTGAATCAGGACAAAAGAGCTATAAGGACATCCCTGAAACACTTTAGGAAATTTGAATATGGACCGGAGGATTAAGTAATGGTATTATATTAATTTTGATAACTGATAACTGTACTATGTAGTGTTAAAAGTGCTAGAAACAGAACAAAACAAAAAAAGCTAGTTGTGGGGGTGGGGGGCGGAAGAGCCCTCCAACGGGCTCTCATCTCCTTCAGAAATGGGTGAAGCCTGACAAAGTCCATGGAACCTCCTCGAAGGCCCCGGGTGATCAGGCCCCGCCCCCCCTTTATCGCTCTGATCTCAACTCTGGTGCTACCTTCACCCCGGCCGACCAGGCCAGCCTCGTCCGGTGCCGCCATCTCCTCCTTGACAAGCCAGGCATGTCGTCCCTCAAGATTTTTACTGCCTGGTCTCTGCCTGGAGAGCTCTTCCCCGAGGCACTCCTGTGTAGTTCTCACCTCTTAAATTTCACCTTCTCGGTGAGTCCTCTGATCATACCCTCTGAAATTACAATTCCCGCTCTCTGCTCCTTTTCTGGCTTTTCCCCAAAGCACTTAACCACCACCTGACAAATACGTTTTGTATAATGTTCCTGTGACTGTTTCCCCTGCAAGACCGTCTGGCCAGTGAGGGTGGGGATTATCCTGTTTTGTTTTGGGTTTTTTGGGGTCTTCTATCCTGATTCATCCCTTGCCCCCCCCCAGGGGGCGGCCTGGTCCTCCTATTTCCCAACCCCCAAGCCCCCAAGACCCAACCCTCCAGGAACTCCCCCTACCCAGGACCCAGGGGGTCCCAGGAAGCCAGCCTCCCCTTTGAAGAACAAAGAAGGAGGAGCTGAGCCTTGGAACCCAGGCCTGGGGAGACGTCCCAGCGGGGGAGGGGAAGCTCAAGACCCTCCACCAGCTGTGCTGTCTCAGTTCCTGGCGGTGCCTCCCGCCTCCCGAGGGGCCCAGCGCGTGTGGGACACGAGCTCCCCTCCCCCAAGCCCAGATGTGGTCGCTGTTGATGGCGGTGGCCAGGAAGAGGCCCAGACACTCATACACACACCATGTGCACGGGACCCACACCCAGGCCCACACTGACAGAGACCTGCAGGCCACACAGAGAACCCCCCCCCCCACCAAACCCTCAGAAACACTGGGCATCTGCCTGGAGGGTGGTCTCTCAGCCTCATATCTGCACAGGAAACCCTGCTGGAGAAAATCGTGCAGCCAGGACAACTGGCCTCAGGTTTTGGGGGCTTGATGTGTCTACAGTTTGGGAGGGGGGCTTTTAAAGAAAATAATACAAAGGTGGGTTTTGTAGAGAGATCACAACAACTCACAAATTGGAAACGCTGACCAATGCCACCCATGTCACCAAGTCCAGAAAAACAACTTCTTTGCCTTAATGAGCAGCCTGCACATCTCTGTAATACTTTCTACAGACTAGCTACCGGTTCTATCTCCAATCTGGCTTCTCCTCCACCATCCACGTCCTTATAGTGACAAGAGCCATTGGACCCATTCAAATGGCGTGTGCCCTCCCTGGCTTTGCGCCTTCATGGCACAAAGCCTGGTGACAGACACAGGTGATGGCAGCTTCCTGGAACTCATTCCCACACCAGGGTAGCCAGGCTAACCCATTATAGGTGGAAATAACTGGGAACCACCTCAACATATCCCACGAAACCGTACATTGTATGTCTCTCCAGCTCACCTTTCCCGGAACTGGATCCCAAAATGGCGCAGCCACTCCAACCCCAGAGGGAAAGAGTGACAGGCAGGCAGAGTGGGAAGAGACAGCGGTCTTCACCGTTTACAGTTAAAATATCTTACTTTTGCCAGTCTTATAGAAGCACATGGCCATGTGAGCATATTTGCTAGCCCCCGCCCCCCCGCCAGGAGCCTGTGCAAGCGAGGGGGTCCTGAAGCATAAACTGAATTACCGTCGTGGTGAACTGGCCTCTGCACTTGAAACTTTTGATCCCACATCTCAAATGGACTCTCCACCTGCCTAGAAATCCTAATCCTCTAGCCTACGGGGCTTTTCCTACTCTCCAAAACGAACGTTTCACACCTTCTTTCTCCGCAAACGACCTGAGCTCTCTCCCTTCCAGCAGTGAGCTGGACTCTTTCTTTGAGGAAATGAGAGCAACCAGGAGAACCTGGCTTATTCTCCCTGCACCCCAACTGACCTGCACCCTCTGTCTCCCCCCATCTGCCTGTGGGTGAGGAGCCTTCCCTACTACCGGAGGCTGATTTCTCTACCTGGCACAGGAGTCTACTGCCCCGCCCCGACCCTCCTCCCTGGCCTACTCCCTTCGGCCTCCAGGACGGTCTGTGCCCCTATGTGCCACACACTGTTCTGCTCACCATTCATGGCAGAACTTGCTGGAGATGTCTACAGCTGCTGTCCGCATGCCTTCACTCCCATTCTCCCATCAACCCACCCTAGTGGGACTGCACTCAGGCACCCCTCCGCTCAGGTCATCTGCAATGTCCAAGATGCTAAGCTGATGGTCGCTTTGCTCTCTTGTCCTTACCCGACCTCCCAGCAGCTTAGCTAGACCCGGTGGCTCCCTCCTTCACAGACTTGCTGTTATCCTGGTTTCCCAAATTCTCTGTCCCAGGGACACTGGCCCTCTTTCTCTAGCTCCCACCAGCCAAGTACATTCCTGCCTCAGAGCCTTTGCACTTGCCCTGTCACCTGCTTTCAGCAGGCTCTGCTGGGCTGAAATATCACCTCTTCCTAAAGGATGTCTCTGACCACCCAGAGTAAAGAAAGCAGGACTTCGCTCTCAAGCCATTGCCCCGGCAGGTTGCCCGCCCCCCGCCCCACCCGCACCAGCCTAATAACCATGTTGTATTATTTTCTGCTTTCTTAGTTATTTTCTGTACTCCCCTCCTCCCATAATGTAGCTTCAGCAGAGCCCAGGCTCAGTGCACTCTGAGTGCCTACCCATACTTGGCACCCAAGAGGCACCCCATAAATAATCGACTGAGTGAGTAACATCCGCAGACAGATGCCCAGATTGTTGTACAGTTTCCTGCTGGGAGCCACGGTCGCGGCTGCGAGTAGCGAAGAGAGCATTCCGCGTCACTGACACAATCCAGAGACAGGAAACCCCCAGATGAAATAGACAGGCTGAAACAAACCCGAGGCAGAAAGCGGAGGCCGAACAGGCCCAGGGCGAGCTCCGGAGAGCGACCCAGATTCAGCGAACCACAGACCCGGGCCCGCAGGAGGCCGGGCAGCCGGCGGAGCCCAGCAGGCAGCGGCGCGGCGAGGCGGGGGTGGCGGTGGGGGTCGGGGTCGCCCCCGCCCCAAGGCCCCCCCGCTCCCCGCCGGCTCACAAGTGGCCGCGGCAGCTGGCGAGGGCGCCCGGCCGCCCGCCGGCCCGACGCGTGCGGGATCAAAGCGGCCGGGAAGGGGCGGGCGGGGAGGAGGCGGGGGGCTCGGAGGTGTGAGCGAGCTTCCCAGGGGCTGGCAGGAGCGTGGGAGCGCAGAGTGCAGGGCGGCGACAGAGACCCGGAGAGACCGCGAGAGATCAGAGACCCAGGCCCGCCGAAGACGAGCCGCGCGGGCGGGAGAGGCCCGGAGCTAGAGACGCACGGACACAGGTGCAGACCCAGCGAGACCACGCGGGCGCTGCTAAGACACCTGGAGAGAGACAGAGCCCCCGAGGGGGCCGCGGGGGGCGCAGGAAGACGGCGGCACCAAAAGGCCGGGACCCACGGACTTAGAAAAAGCAGGCGTGCTTCAGAGAGAACAGAAACTAGGAGAGAGCGAGCGAGGAAGAGAAAGGGCCAGGAGAGCCCGGGACTCGGGGAGCTTAGGGCGGAAAGGCCCCGCCCCTCCCCTGCGGAGGGTGGGAGGACCCCCGGGGCAGGGATCCGAGCAGCGTGTCCTTTCTCAGGGTCACGCCTGCGGAGGTGCTGGGGGGGGGGGGCGGAGGGAGGGGTGTGGAAGGCAGCAGGACCCCCGGGCTGGGCGGACGAGAGTGGGAGGATCTTGCGAATCCGGATCTGGATCCAGAGCCTCCAACTCTGCCATAGGATAAAAAAATTGAGTATTAATATTTGCTAGGAATGTTAAACAGAGATGCTTCTTAGACATTTCATCAGACTTCTCCCCATTTGGAGACAAGGGGGAAAAAAAAAAAAAGTGAAGGAACACTGCATTGGCCGGGAATCGAACCCGGGCCGCCCGCGTGGCAGGCGAGAATTCTACCACTGAACCACCAATGCAACCGACAACTGCTCTTTAGTGGCCCTACCTGAGCTTGTAAGAGGTGGAGACGGCAGTGGTCAGGCAGAAAGTGTAGGCCCGGGGCTCTGGGAAGGAGTGGCCCCGAGTAGCTGACGTGGGTGGAGCGCCAGACCATCCTTCCTCCCGCCCGGATCCGGCCACCCGGCCATAAAGTCGCCCCATATGGCCAGGGGCGGCCCCACACTCGGGTGCGAACAGCCCGGGGCCCCGAGCCTCGCGTGCAGGTGAGAAAAACTCAGCCCGAGCGCAGTTTCCCAAGGAGGGGGGCGAGGGGGGCTGCTGGGGCCACACATCTGCGCTCCCATTTGGCCCAGGTAGGGGGAGGTGGGATGTGCTGGCGGCCCTGATCCCAAATGGGAGCGCCCTCCCCAAGGTCTGTGTGTCTCCGGGCTCGGGCTTTGGCAAGGCAGGCTCCGTGAAACAAAACAAAACAAAACCCCAAGGTGTGGAGAGGCCCTGGGAGGGCTCGGAGAGCCTCGTCGGCCCCTGACTCCGCAGCTTATCTTCCGACTCGGTCTGCAACCTTGTCTTTCCATGTCCTTGTCCCGGGCGGTCTGGCTGTCCCGTGAAATCTCTGATTTTATCTTCTCAGACACTTTATCTGGAAGCCTCCGAGTGTTCACGCACCATTCTGCAGAGGGTCATGTTCTTGGTTTGAGGTGGGTGTTGATCCCTTTTTGTATCTCTTTCTTGTCCCTTTAAGAAAACTGCCTGTTCCCTGCTCCCCGATGGGGTGGAGGGGTCCCCAGGAGCAAGCAGCAGGAGCACGACTTAGGTCAGGTATCCTGGAAACCATGCGCCGGAACCTCCTATAATTAGTTTTGAATCAAATACTTCTAAGTGGGAAGGTTTCTCCACCTCCTGCCCATGCTTCAAAGCCTTGCTTCCTCTTCCTTGAGGGTCCCGCTCCTCCCCAGTCCAGCCACCCGTTAGGATGACCCTCTCCCCAGCACCTGCTTCACTCTGCTCTGTAATAGCTACTTGATAACACACGTCTTTCCCCCTCGATCCTGTAAGGGTAAGCTGGGCCTGTAGTGCTTATGTAGTATGAACGACCCAAGCCTACACCAGTGTGCGTAGTGCCCGGGGAATGGAGTAAGATTCACTAAGATCGCACAGAGCGGCTCCTTCACCCCAGGTGAATTAGACAGATTCACCCAGCACACTCAGGTGGCTCCCTTACCCAATTAGGAGGTGGATTTTGAAGGAAGGTGTATAAGATCCAGTCTGGGGGTTGAGGGATGCTATCTTTTATTTCAGAGTCGGTGGGGGAACAGAGAGCTCCCAAGAAGCTGCGAATGGTGGTTGGCGGGGGGCGGGGAGGGACGGGGGACTCTGAACTTCATTCCTGAGTCCTCTCCCAGATCACCTCAACTCCCCCTCCCCCTAATAACCTCCTCCCTTCAGCTGGGTTCCACCTCATTATACAGCCTTAGGGGCCTTAAACCAGCCAGTGCTGCATTGGCCCCTCATTTCCCACACTCCCAGGCCAGTTCCACTCCTTCCCCTCCCCCTTGCGCTCCTCCCCTTTCCGGGAGCCTCGTGCCCCGGGCCGCACCGGGAGGGATCCGGGTGCCGAAGGGGGCGGGTCCGGGTCCTACACACCCCCCCCCCAACCCAGGAGCCTGCGGGATATAAGGCGCCAGGCGGGCAGGGGCTCGGTCCACACCAGGGTCCGGAGGAGCGATGGTCACTCGGGATCGAGCCGAGAATAGGGACGGCCCCAAGGTGAGAGGCGGGAGGGGAGGGAGCAGAGGTCCTAGGTCCGGTCAGGGGACCGGGTCCCTGAGACCCTGGGGGAAGGGAAGAGCCTGGAGGCGCAGAGTTGGAAGGGGGAGAGGTGCGTGGGGGGACCCAAGGAGCCAGGAGCTGGAAAGGAAGCTGCAAAGTATGAAGAAGGGGACAGGGTCAGGGCAGGAGCTGCGTGGGCGGCAGAAGTAGAGGTCTTGGGTTTGGGTAATGGGATGTGGCACCTTGCGGCTTGGAGGGCGTGGCAGGGGGCACGGATTTGAGTGAAATAAGCAAGGGGAGCACAGAGCTAAGGGAGGCGGGTGGAAACTAAGTGCCAAGAGGCTAGGCACTTGCTCCACGAGCCAGAGCTGGCCCAGGGCAGCCTTATAGAGAAGGCCCGGAATGCACTGGTTCCAGAGGCCTGAGACCGGGTGGAAGCTTTTAGAACCAGTGGAGTAATGTGACTGCATAGACGGCTTAGAGGGAGAAGAGGAAGCGCGGTCGCGCTGGGTATCTCCCTTTCTACACTCAGGGCCGCCAACTCAGAGCCCGGCACCTTGCGGGCCACGTGTCTGGGCGCAAAGAGGGCCCCCAAAGCTCTCCACTGAGACAGAGAGACTGCACGAGACGGAGACGTAGAGAGAAAAGAGGAGGAGAAGGAGAGACACAGAGAGGGGAGGAGGGAGGACGAGGCTGAGAGAGGAGAACGCAGAAGACCCGGGAGAGAGAGGAGGCGAGCTACAGACATTGACCCTAGGGGCGCTGGGAGCGGGAGCGGAGAGGGACCCAATGGGCCCGGCCCTAGGCCCTCGTTGGGGGTGTCCCGGAAGGGGTGGGGGCGGGACCATCCCAGCGGCGGGATCCGAACGCCGGCGCGGCCGCGCTGAGTCTCGGTCCGGTCGGCCCGCTCTCCCTTTCCTGCTGGTCGCAGATGCTGAAGCCGCTGGTGGAGAAGCGGCGCCGGGATCGCATCAACCGCAGCCTGGAAGAGCTGAGGCTGCTGCTGCTGGAGCGGACCCGGGACCAGGTCAGTCCTTCCACCGCCCCCGGAGCGTCCCCAGCATCCCGTCCTCGCGACCCAGGGCCTCCTACTGGGGTGGGGACACACGCTGCACTGGCGACCCAGGCGCCAAGGCATCCTGACCCGAGTCCCGCCCTTGGAATCCCATCCCAGAGCCCCCTCTCGCTCTCAGAACGGGATCTTCATGGCCACCCCTCGGGTCTGTAAGTTTCACACCCGGCTCTGTAAATTTCACTCCCAGGGTCGGTCAGTGTTCAACCTCGGGGTCTGTAAACGCTCGCTCCTCCTCCCCCACACCCCCTCGAAACAGCCTGCAGGGTGGTTCATTTCAAGTCCCTGGGTTTGCTGTTTCAAACCCCCTCCTCACCCTGTGGGTTGGTTTCATCCCCTCGGGTTGGACGGTGTAGTCTCAAGGTTTCCCAGGGCCATTCTTGGTCATCGCCACTCCGCATTCGGTCGCGCGCTCCGTGGGCAGCGCGCACACGCGATCGGGGGCACCCCCAGCTCCCGCATCCGCCCTCCCTTCTTCCCCCTGCCACTTCCCCCTCTCTCCCCACCCCTCTCTGTCTTTGCGCCCTCCCCCCTCCCGTCTGTAGAACCTCCGCAACCCGAAGCTGGAGAAAGCAGAGATACTGGAGTTCGCCGTGGGCTACTTGAGGGAGCGAAGCCGGGTGGAGCCCCCGGGTACAGCGCGGGGGTGGGGCAGCGGAGGGCGGGAGGGGGGATTCACGGAGGCCCGGGGCCGGGGTAGCTGGGGAGGACCCTGCGCTGGACGGTGGGCTTGGGGAGTGGTAGGCTCTGCTCCGAGGCGAGGTTAATAACACCCGCGCGTGTCTGTCTCTGTGTCTCCCTCATTTTCTCCCTCTGTCCGTCCATCTGGCTTCCTGTCTCTGTCTGTGCGTCTGTCGGGCCTCGGTATCTCTGCGCCCCGCCCCTTCCCTCACCCCTGCTGGGCCCCTGCCCTGCCCGCCGGTGCTCCCGCCGGCCGCACCCGCCGCCGCGGCTCCAGGGGTTCCCCGGTCCCCAGCCCAGGACGCCGAGGCGCTCGCCAGCTGCTACTTGTCCGGCTTCCGCGAGTGCCTGCTTCGCCTGGCGGCCTTCGCGCACGACGCCAGCCCGGCCGCCCGCGCCCAGCTCTTCTCCGCGCTGCATGGCTACCTGCGCCCCAAGCCGCCCCGGCCGGAACCGGTAGATGCGAGGCCCCAAGCGCCGCGCCCACCGCTGGACCCCGCCGCCCCGGCGCCCGGCCCCGCGCTGCACCAGCGCCCCCCAGTGCACCAGGGCCCCCGTAGCCCGCGCTGCGCCTGGTCCCCGTCCCCCTGCTCGCCCCGCGCCGGGGATTCCGGCGCGCCGGCGCCCCTCACCGGACTGCTGCCGCCGCCGCCGCCGCCGCCGCCGCCGCCGCCGCCGCACAGACAAGACGGGGCGCCCAAGGCCCCGCCGCCCCCGCCGCCCGCTTTCTGGAGACCTTGGCCCTGAGCTTTGGGGGGTGGGGCGGGGGAGGGGGCTGGGGGTGAGGTAGAGACTCCAGCCCGAGGGCAGCAGAGGGACCCGGGCGTCGGGGCTAGCAGGTGTTGGGGAGGGCGGCGGGGCGCGCGGGCGCAGCGCGCGGGTGAGATGTGGTCTATATTAGAGTATCTATATAAATATATATTTCCCTGGTTCCTGTCCCTTTTCCCTGCCCCTCCCCCCTTTGCGTCTAGGATTGTACCCTCTCTGCCCCCGGCCCAGCCCCAGTCCCTTCCCGAGTCCCTAGTGCATGGAATAAAGTGGTTATTAAATCCCCGTGTGTCCCCGAGCCAGGGGCCTGCCTTTATGTCGGCGTCCACGCCCACTTTCCTTCTGTCTCCCTTTCCTTCTGTCTCCCGCCCCTCCCAGTCCTGCTCTCCATGGCCCAAGCCCCGGGGCAGACAGGTAAGTAAAGAAGAGAGCAGAGCGGAGACTGAGGTTGAAGCTGAAACCAGGTGGAAAACACTGAAATAGGGTAGGGGGAGAAGGGATGGGAACCTTTACGGAAAAGCCGGATAAAGAGGAAGGGGGAAAAAAAAAATTGAAATAAAATCGACTCTGGTGGGATTCGAACCCACAACCTTTGAATCGCTCTTTCGTCACTAGAAGTCCAATGCGCTATCCATTGCGCCACAGAGCCACCTGGCGGGCGGCGGCGTCTGACGGCTTACGGGTACTAGCATGCGCAAGGGGCGGGGAGGGAGAGGGGTGTGAGGGAATTGGGCGGGGCGGGCCAGGAGCGCGTGGTTGGGACCTCGCAGGCCTGCCGGGGAGAGGTAGCGGGCCAAAGGCACGAGAGCCAGGTGGGAGTGCGGGCGCGCACGGGTGGAAGAGACAGGGAGAGAGAGCAACCGAGCAGGAGCGAGCGAGTACAGAGCTCCGGCTGCCCGCTTGGGGGATGCTTCCAGCCCAGGCGCACCCCACTCCCAGATGTGGCTCCACCCATGAAAATAAACTTGTTTCGTTGCAAATATCGGTGTATCTCTATTTCCTCCGCCCTGTTTCGCCGTTCGCTGCTCCTGGGTCTGGGGTTTCCAAAGAAGGCCCGCTGACTTAGAACAGTCATCGCGAGCCTGTCTCGCCCCTCTAGTCTCTTAGGAGGACTACGGGGAGGACTTGCTTCCACGCAGGTAGCGTGGCCGAGCGGTCTAAGGCGCTGGATTTAGGCTCCAGTCTCTTCGGAGGCGTGGGTTCGAATCCCACCGCTGCCAGGATGGAGTTTTTCTGGTGGCCTGTGCACCCTAGAACTCCTAGAACTCCTAAACCCCCTACCCTGGCTGGGATGTATGCCCCTTGTTTTTACAAGGACTGCTTGCAGTGATGGCACCATCCCCTCCATGCTACTGGGGACAGCCTGGGTGGTGTCAGCCAGAACCTGGCGGGAACCGCCAGAGAGACCTTCGATTCTTCGTAACTGATGTCCGCAGTAAGGTGTCCTGAAATTGCGTTCTCTCTCAAAACTGGCGCACCTTGCTCTTATCTTTTAAGTGCTGACTGCGTGTTTGGATGGTGTGCCGGAGGCTCCGATTACCCGGTCTGAGAAGCCCAAAGGACAGCGTCTTCGTTTGCTTTCCTTCTCAGACCCTCTCGGGGAACGAGAAACGCTCATACACGAAGCTGAGAAATAACGGTACGAATTGAGGCAAAACTTAAGGTTCCACCGAGATTTGAACTCGGATCGCTGGATTCAGAGTCCAGAGTGCTAACCATTACACCATGGAACCCACTTCTGGATGGTTTCTTCTGGGAGTGTACATAATACTGAAGTTCTTGTCCCTCCCATTCTCCCATTCACAGAAAAGAAAACAAAAAACACCTACCTGAAGCGGTGGGCGCCTCTATGGAGCTCCTGAGATACGAACTGAGATGCGCTGTGACGTGTAAAATACACACCACACTTAGAAGACACGGTACTTACTGCAAAGAAGATTGTTAAAATTTCATTAATAATTTAAAAATATTGATGACGGGTTGAGATAAGATTTCATTGGGTTAAATAAAATGTTATTAAAATTAATCTCACCTGGTTCTGTTTCCTCTTTAATGTGCCCACCAGAACATTTAGGTTCGCAGGAAACGTCTCTACTTTCCCTCCACTCTCACTCGTGCTACTTTCTGAAAACTAAAAATCCTTGCCGGGGTTACTATCAGTTCTTTTTTAAAGTCATGTAACAGCACTTTTGTTATTCTTTTTTTTTTTTTTCCTTGCTTTTGTTTAAAGGAATACGGATATTACGCGTACTCAAGAAGAGATATATACTCCTGGGGAAAAAAAAAAAAAACAAAAGCAAACGCCCGAACAGGGACTTGAACCCTGGACCCTCAGATTAAAAGTCTGATGCTCTACCGACTGAGCTATCCGGGCTCTTGTGAAAGCTTTGCGCTACTACCTATAAGAGCTGTTCGCCCGCTGGAGTCCAGGTTCCCGGAAACCGAGGGTGAGTGCACGCACGAGCGCAGCGCCCCGGGCGCGCACCAGGAGCGAGCAGGGGCGGCCCCGCGGCTCCCGCCTGCGCTCTGCCAGCCTCGCTCGAGCACCGTCCCCGCCGGGGTCCGGCTGCTGGGATCGGAGCGCCGCCGAGGCTGGGCAGCTGCGGTGCCGGGACTGGCCGCGCGGGGCCGCTGCCGGCTGCAGGCCTCCCCGGCCGAGCTGTTTGTCCGCGGCCCGGGTGACCCAGATCCCCGGCACCCCCGCGCTTGGCCCCCGCCTTGCAGGCCACGGGCGGGCCCGGAGCGGAACGAAGGCCACGCAGGGCGTTCAGACGTGAGCCCCGGCTCCACTTTGGTCCGCTGGCCGACCCCATCCCGAGGGAGGGACCGAGATCGGACGTGCCGCGGAGCGGCGATCCGGGGAAGCCGGCGTGGGGACGGTGGTGCGCAGTGGGGAGCGACAGGAGAGTTGGGCCTGACTCCTCTGCAGGGGCGACTCGCCTGCGTGTGGCCGCGGTCACGTGTGATTTATGTCGAGTATGGCTCACTTGCGAAGACTGATTCACATGGATGATTCACAAGTAGGGAATGCGGGTGCCCCGTGCCCAGGCCTGGCTGAGAAGAGGAAAGGGTTTCGGGGCAAGTTGGGGAGTGGGCGGACCAGGGCCCCAGGGTCTCAGCGGCCCCTAACCGGGAGCAGGGCAGTGTCCCAGTCACACAGGTGTCACCTGCTCCTCGTCTCCCTCTCAGCCCCTGGTCCCTCCCTTCCCGCTGGGACTCGGACTCCTGATATCCATCTGGGTGAGCCCTGTCCTGCCAGCCAGAGAGACCGGCTGTGCCAGAGGCAAGCAAACAACTATTAGGGTGGGGAGAGGGAGCCCGCAGTGAGCCGGGACAGAGACCGGGAGCTTCGCGGGAGAGAGGCGGGCGAGCCCCAGAGCATCCCAGAGAGAGCGGGGCCTTCCCTGGGAGGCCTACCTGCCCGGGCCGAGCCCCCCACTCAGGAGCTCCGCAGGCCGACAGCTCAGCCCCGCCCCGCCCCCGCCCCTCCCCCCGGCCCCCTGCGCCAAGGCGGGCTGCTGCTGTGGTCACCGCTGCCGGGGTATCCCTCTTTCCTTCCCGCCATGGCCGTGTACCGCGTGTGTGTGACCACGGGTCCCTACCTGAGGGCCGGCACGCTGGACAACATCTCTGTCACTCTGGTGGGCACCTGTGGTGAGAGCCCCAAGCAGCTGCTGGATCGCTTGGGCAGGGACTTCGCCCCTGGGTCTGTAAGTACCGAGGAGAGGGAGGAGGGACCCCTGAGGGCCTGGGGACCCTGAAGGAGGGGAGGGTCATTCCCCCAGGTCATTCCTCCAACCCTGCAGAACTCAGGGAGCCGGCCTTGACCTCCTCACCATCCTATTCTGGTCTCTGTCTTTCCTGGGGAGGGAATACTTTCTACCCAGGCAGGGCTGTGAAGAAGGAGCCAGGGGCTGGGGGTCAGGAGAATTCCACCGGCTTCCTAGCTCCTCTCATAATTGAAGGTGGGCTTTGGGCAAGTCACTTGCCCTCTGTGAGTCGGGGTTTCCTCTTCTCTGGAGGGGATCCGCTTGCCTCCGCCAAGCCCCACGATTGTTTGCTGGTGGCCTACACAAGGGTGCGGGAGCCAAGGAGGCTGGTGAGATCCAGAATCCACTCTGCTCACTCACCGTGCCTCTGGGAGCTGTGGCCGCTTCTGCTGGGATGGAGGGGTGCCTTTTCCTAATTCATACAAAGGCCCCGCGTGGGTTAGCGGCTCTCAGCTTTATATCCCAGAACAGATGTAGGCATAGAGGCGCCTCACCAGGTGTAAGGATGCCCCTGCCGTTCCTCGCCTCTCACCTGCTTGCTTTTTGGTCCCCTCAGGTGCAGAAGTACAAGGTGCGCTGCTCAGCGGAGCTCGGCGAGGTCTTGCTGCTGCGTCTACACAAGGAGCGCTACGCTTTCTTCCCCAAGGACTCTTGGTACTGCAGCTGCATCTGCGTCACGGCCCCCGATGGCACCCGTTCCCACTTCCCCTGCTATCAGTGGATTGAGGGCTACTGCACCATAGAGCTGCGACCAGGAACAGGTGGGCCAGAGGCCGGGGGCTGGCCTGGGTTGCAGAAGGCATCTGTTGGGGCCGGAGGGGGGGGGTGTCTCACGGGGCCCAGGCTGCAGGGAACGGGGGTGGGGTTAGGGTAACTGGAACTCAGAGCTTTCGGCCCACTCCCTCTGCACTCCCCCAGAGTGAATTTCTCCTGCGCCCAGAGCGGACTTGAGCTGTAAGCCGAATAACTGAGTGTCGGCAGGTGCAGAAGCTGAGAGAATTTAGCAGGAAAGGCCCTGCCGACAACTACTACTGGCTTTTCTGGTGTGGACGAAGTCCCTGTGACGTGCTGTTAGGATTCCCTCTTGCATCTGGGGGGCCTTTCAAGGATGCCGAGCTCGAGCTCCTTCAGCCTCTGGAACCCCACCCACGTCTCCTGAGCCGTCTGATCCCAAGAGGCATGACCAGGGCTGGTCCGAGTGTTGACATG